GGGGTGTGGCTTGTGTGGGGAGGTAAGGGGCGTGGCCTAAGAGGGTGGAAATAAAAATGGGCGTGGTTTAAAGTGGGTGGGGCTTAAGTGGGAGTTTATTAAAGTGGAGGTAAAAGGGGAGGAGCTGAAATTGCTTTAATTTTGTGGGTGGGGCTTAAGATGGGTGTGGCATAACAGGGGGAGGAGTTTAGAGGGTTTTAATGAGGTGGGTAGGGCATAAAGGGGCGTGGCTTAAATTGAGGAATGTAAAGAGGGCAGAGCATAAATTGTTAAAAGTGGGAGGTTCATAAGGTGGGTGTGGCCTAAAGTTAGGAAATCTTAAAATGGGTGGGGCTTAACTGGGTATTATGAAAAGTGGGAGGAGCCTAAAGCTTCTTATGGTAAAAGGGGGTGTGGCTTAAAAGGACAGGGATATAAGGGGCGTGGCTTAAGGTATTTAAATTTTGTTGCATGGCATAAATGGGGTGTGGCAATCAGAGGTAAAAAAATTTAAATTAGGGGAAATTTTGCCTTAAAAAATGTAAATTTATGAATATTTTAATTTGTGAGCGTGGTCTGAAAATTTGTGGGCGGAGCTCCACAAATCCTTAATTAATATCTGTGGTTTTAAAGCAATTAAACCTTTTAAAAATCTAAATTTATGCAAATTTTTGCCTTTTGAGCCGCAATTTCAGAGTTTTAATGTTTTAGGCACAGGCCACGCCCCTTTTGCGCTGTCCCCGCCCCCTTTGCAAGATGGCCGCCCATCCCTCGTGCCTGGCCCGGCTCTTCCTGGCCCCGGAGCCGCTGCAGCTGCTGCCAGTGGGAGGAGCCTGTCCCAGGTAAAAAAAAAAGGGGCGTGGCTTGGGTTTGGGGGCGGGGCTTAATGTTTGGAATCTTTTACCTTATAAGGGAAGGATTCAAGATGGCTGCTGGGGGGGTGGGGCTAATTCTAAACGCTTTTTTCTCTATAAGGAAAATTTTCAAGATGGCTGCTAGGGGGTGGAGCTTGTTCTAAACCCTTTTTTTCCTTATAAGGAAAAATTGCAAGATGGCTGCGAGGGGGCGGAGCTTGTTTCTTAGAGAATTTTTCCTTATAAGGAAAGGATTCAAAATGGTTGCCAGGGGGCGGGGCTTCCTAAAAGTTCCTTTCTCATATAAGGAATGGCTCCAAAATATCTGTCAAGGGGAGGAGCTTGTTGCTGGGGGGCGGGGCTTGTTGCTAAGGCCTTAATCCCTTATGAGGAAAGGCTCTGAGTAATTGTTAAGGGGCGGAGCTTGTATATAAGGGATGGAGCTTCTCTATAAATTTCCTTTTCCTTATAAGGAAAAGCTCCAAAATGGCTGCCAGGGGTGGAGCCTATTTTTAAAGAAATATTTTCTTTATTAAGAAACTGTTTAAGTGGTTTCTAAGGGGCGGGGCTTGTTGCTATGGGAGCATTTTCCTTATAAGGGTTCCAAAATGGCAGCCAGATGGAGGACCCTGTTGCTAGGGGGCGGGGCATGTCGCTAAGGACTCTTTACCTTATAAGGAAAAACACTGAATGGTTGCTAAGGGGCGGGGCTTGTTGCTATGAAGCTCTTGTGGGTGGAGCCTGTTGCTAAGGAAATGTTTCTTTTATAAGGTAATTGTTTTAATGGTTGCTAAGGGGCGGGGTCTGTTACTATGGGAGCATTTTCCTTATAA